TCCCATGATGAACGCCATGAAGGGCGATCTCCCCAACGCGCACAGGGACGTCTTGGATGCCGTTTTCTAGCAAATCACCCCCGGCATTCAGAGCCCCAACGGCATTATTTGCCACCAATTGGAGGGCTTCCAATTCCTCTGTTAGGGCTGTGATAAGGGAAGAAAAGAATCATCAAGAAAAGCATGACAGAACAAAATGATAAAGAGACAAGATTTCTCTAATGGATCCTACCTGCGACCCTGGCATCAGAATCTGCTAGTCGTGCCTGGGCGGTGCTGCTCTTCCCTCCATGGCAGCAAGAGTGGTTTGGGAGGCAACCAGGGTGGCCTCCAAGCACTTAGTTTCCTAGGTCGCCTCCCAGTGATGACCCAACGCCTCGTCCTGTTCATGAAGATAACGCTGGGCATCATCTCCATTGTACGAATTAGAGGAATCAGTAGAGGAGGCTGCGGATGCCGCCGGTTGGGCCTCAAACTATGCTAGTAGATTCTGAACGTCGGCCCGAGTGATGTTCCTACAAGACAAAATTACCAAGTTCAAATGGTTATCAAGAGAATCCGCAACACAATTCTAACATACCCTAGGATGCGGAGGCGCTGGCACGGAGGGAGATCCTGTTCTAGGATGTCGCCAGCAGGGCGCTTGCTGTCCCCCATTGCTCTTGGCTAAAGATTTGGTTTTCTGATTTGAGGATGAAGAAAGAGGAGTTGCACAGTAGCAAGAGTGAGGGCGAGTGCAGATGTGACCTCTTGGTTATCCCCTGAAAGTATATATTTATAGCATGGGTAGGTTCATCGAGCCGCATCGAAGTAAAGTGCAGTTAATGGAAGGCAAGAGGCTGTTCCAATAATCGAGGAGGCCACGCATGGACAAATGAGAAAGCAGCGGTTGTGGGAACCACAGATGCAAGGAATTTCCATTTTTACTAGGATTTTCTATACTTTGATTCGGTTCCGGGCCGTGGATCTAAAAAATTCATTCGCTGTAGTTTTGTGTTACCATCTGAGGTTGGCTCTAAGGAATAATCAGTCAAAGACGGCTGCGAGAAGTTAGTTTTTAAGTCTTGGAGGAATCATTGGAAGTCGATTGCTAGAACAGTGGATAATTTATACAAGGTGGAGAACTACGTCGACTAATTATTTGCACCTAGCACCTCGGGTCGGATTTGAATAAGAGTTGAAAGTTACGAATTCGGGATCGCTCGAATTACAATTGAAGCATCTAAGCGAATAACGTTGGTTTTGGTGACCGTGTTGGTATTCAAGTTCCAGAATGCAGATTTAGAAAGGGTTTTGCTCGACGCAATTTTGTGTTTGCACTTGACCACAGTCAATCTGATCTCAGGAGGTCATCCGATTCAGTCTAAACGGCTATTTTTCGGATAAACTAAAGCGCCTAAGTTCAAGACCTCTGATGGACACTTTGGCTATCGACTCAGAGGCTATCGCTGAAGGAGATAAATGACAGTAAAAAAGGGCATTCATGGCCAAAACATAAAGAACAGGTGCAAAGGGGATTTTATTTATTCATAAGCATAACCCCTAGTTACAAACTAAGGGCCAAGGAATACATTGTTCATGACTTCCTCGGCCGAGGTTATGCTTGCCACGGCGGTGCCAGCCCCCTCGAAGTCATCCACCAGGTCTTGGTAGTCATCGGGGTTCTTCTCCTCCGGGAAGCCGGGCTCCACTAGGCGAAGATCATGCCCCAAGCACACCTAGGCTATTGCCAGGGCGATGACAGCACCGCAACGTACACCATGGAGGGCCACCTCCCTGGCACACAGAGGAACATCTTGGAGGTGAGCCTCTAGAGTCTCACCTCGGGTGTTCAGGGCACCGGAGGCATCGCCTACCACTAACTGGAGGGCTTTCAGTTGCGCTGTTAGAGCTAAAAATGAAAGAACACAAGAAACTATTAGAAGATCGATGAGATGGGATCATCAAAGGAAACTGGGATGTTGAAGATCTTACTGGTGACCCTAGTGTCTGACTCCGCTAGTTGTGCTCGGACCACGTTCGCTTCTGCCTCCGCGGCGGAGAGGGCGGCTTGGGAGGCGTTCAGGGCAAACTCCAGTTGCGCATTATGCCAGGTAGTCTCGGAATAATGATTGACTGCCGCATTCCACTCATGATGGAAGCGCCGTGCGTCATCTCCGTCGTAGGAGTCAACGGAGTCAGAGGACGAAGCTGCTTGTGTAGCTGATTGGACATCATAGGCGACACCAGAGTGATCACCACTGCAAGAACAAACAGATCAGCAAAGGGAGACAAAAACCAAGATAGATTCGATCTTACCCCTGGAGATGGAGACACCGGCGGGGAGGAAGATTCTCCTCTAGAAGATCATCGGCGACGCGCTTGCCATGGTCCATGCTTCCCCGGATACGGTTTTTGGATCTAAGAACGAGGAGAAGACAAGTTGCACAGTGGCAAGAGCGGAAGCAGGAGCAGATATGATCCCTCGGCTACCCTCTAGCGGTATATTTATAGCAGGGGTGGGATATCGATGGGTCTTTTGAGTCAAGGACAATAAATTTGATTTATGCAAGATGGAAAACCATCTCGGGAAGATTCTCCTCTGGAAGATCACCGACGACGCGCTTGCCATGGTCCATGCTTCCCAGGATATAGTTTTTGGATCTAAGAACGAGGAGAAGAGAAGTTGCACAGTGGTGAGAGCGGAAGCAGGAGCAGATATGATCCCTTGGCTACCCTCTGGGGGTATATTTATAGCAGGGGTGGGATATCGATGGGTCTTTTGAGTCAAGGACAATAAATCTGATTTATGCAAGACGGAAAACAATCTTGGGAAGATTCTCCCCTAGAAGATCACCGGCGACGCGCTTGCCGTGGTCCATGCTTCCCCGGATACAGTTTTTGGATCTAAGAACGAGGAGAAGAGAATTTGCACGGTGGTAAGGGCTAAAGCAGGAGCAAATATGATCCCTCGGCTACCCTCTGGGGGTATATTTATAGCAGGGGTGGGATATTGATGGGTCTTTTGAGTCGAGGACAATAAATTTGATTTATGGAAGACGAAAAACCATCTCGAATATCAAGGAAGCCACGCGTGGCCTAATAAGAGGGCAGCAGTTGCAGAAGCAGCGGATATGAAAATTTTATTCATCAAGATTATTTACAGTCTCGTTCAAATCCGAGTTGTGGATGTGAAATGTTATCCGCTGTAGTTTTGTGTTATCACGTGCGTCCGGAAGGCAGGCCCCGGAGTTGATCAACTAAAGACTGGTCTGTTAGATGATGGACCAAGCTTGAAGAAGCGATCAATCCAAAAACTGATCACTAGTGCAGCAGTCGACAACGATAAAAAATTTGTGCACAGCCAGACCGAGGGAATGATAGGGGATCGGCTATGAGCACGAGTTGGAAGGGAAAGGTGGATCAAAAGGTTAAAGAGATGATCACCATCAAATGACCAAACTTCATGATCTTCGATATGCCCTTGGTCAAGAAAGCCCAATGGAATAGATCTATGAGGAGGTCAAAGAAGCTAGCATGGGATCAAACACAGATGGTTGGAAGTGCGATAAGTGCAGCGGTCATAGAAGGTAATTTTGGGGGGCATGTGTTGACACCAAAATTTGGTTCGATAGGAAAGGACCCCGAGGTTAGAATTTGTCAAGGAAAAGCCAAAATATTTAGCGAGATCAGCTAACCAAATTGCCATCAAATGAGTAAGATGACATCATCATTCCAAGGGAATGGGCCCCATTGGCAGAAACGACAGGACTCAAAGCAAGAGACGCATTGGCCTCCATAGACAGAAAAGATTGGAGTCCAAGTTATCTTAAATTAGGAAGTTTTGTTTTCTTTTCTAAGTTTTCATAACCGGTCTTGTTCAACTAGGACTCGTAGTCAATCCTCGGGTATAAATAGTGAACCCCGGCTATTGTAATAGACATCTCTCATCGATCAACCAAACAAGTACCTTTACTTTTTGGCTCACGCCACCCCTTAGGAGTAGGAGTAGAGTAGATTTCAACGAGTTCTTTGGGCAAGTAGGACTGCATCGGATGACCTGACCTCTGGGTTGTTTGTGAGTATATGTCATGACTTATATTGTTACTTGTGAGGCTGCAACAGATGACTGATCTCTTGCAAGTCACGATATACGTTAGTTATTGATCTATAATGTTATTTGTAAGACTGCAACAGACGACTGATCTCTTACAAATCACGGTATAGATTAGTAATCAATTCGTATCAACCTTTACAAGGCTGCAATAGACGACTGATCTCCTATAAATGTTGGTATTAATCATGTGATGAGAGCTGGCTTGAGTTCAAATCTGTTGTCTCCAACATTGACTGTTGGTCTAGTACAGATGTTGGCCATAGTTGGAGCAGAGAATTCACAGAGAGTCTTATCAGCCATAGCTTCAAATTGACTGTTGGTCCATCTTGATGGTTTTTCTGAATAAACCCTGTAGAAAATATAGATTCACCAAAACTCATGGAATTTGTTAGTTAAAACCCCTAAACCTTTGTTGGTGATTATATTCATGCCCTTATGCATGTTACATTGACGGTTTATAATGTTTATTAACTACCATCAATAAGTAGTAAGAGCCTTCATCACACACAAGGAACCACTAAACACCTTGATCTGATAGCTATGAGTCACAAACTTGTAGCCCTTCTGATCAAGTGCCTTGAATGAGATCAAATTCTTCTTCAACCCAACCACATGGCGAACATCTATGAGTGTATGAACAATACCATCAAACATCTTCAATCTGATTGTGCCCATACCAACAACTCTGCACTTTGTGTCATTGCCCATAGAAACTAAACCACCATTCAATAGTTCATAAGTGGCAAACCACTCTCTATGTAGACAAACATGGTAAGAACAAGCAGAATCAAGAACCCAACCTGTGCTTAAGCTCATGTCACAATCAGCTGAAGCACTAGAAGCACAATGGCCAACTAAAGAAGAATCAGCACTAACAACAAGTAACTCACCAGACTCAACTGAATCACCATCTGCAACTACAACTGCCATCATCTTGCTTGTCCCTCTTTTTCTTCAACTTGGGACAATCCCACTTCATATGGCCATAATCCTTACAATATCTGCACTTAATTTTGTTGCCAGAACGGGACTTTGAACAACCCTTAGATTTTCCCCTACCACTGCCAGAAGCACCATCACCACTATGACCACACTTTGTGGACCTCCCACGGCTGACAACAAGACCCTTGCTCTGACCACTCTCCATGTTAGACTTCCTGAGCAAATCCTTAGACAGAAGGATAGAAGTGATATCATCCATAGAGATAGAATTAGTACCATAAAGGATCTGATATCTCATGCAGTCATAAGAATCTAGGAGTGAACACAAGAACAATATTACAATATGGTCTGTATCCATAGACTTGGCAACATTTTGATAGTCAAGCACCGCCTTATTGAACTCTTCAATATATTGCTTTATAGGAGTGCCTTCTTGCATACGCATCCTAAACAAGAGCATCATGAGGTAGAAATGACTTAAGAGTGATTTGTCCAAATAGAGACCTATAGCAGTCTTCTCCTCACAAATTTGCCTCAACACATTATCAGCAAGAGCCAAACGAAGCACTACCAATCCTCTCTTATCAATATTCTTCATCTCATCTTTTGTTGTTCTAGACAAATCTGGATCAATCTCCTCTATAGCTGTATCTAGATTTTTATCAACTAGGACATATTGTATTTTCACTTGCCATAACCAAAAGTCACCACTACCATCAAACTTGCCCACTTCTAATGCTGACATATTGAACTAGAAAACAACAGATTAAATTGTGCCTTTGATAATTAACAACTCTGGTACCACTTGTGACAACAGAGGGGCAGTGGAGTAATCAAATTTAGCAAACTAATTTCTCACAAGTATATCATCAAACACCTTATGTGCATGAACTAAAACAGCCCCCTACAAATAAATCTGTCAAACAACAAGCTGTCCAAACTTCCAACAAGAATATACTTGCATCAATTAGAACACCAATCCCCATCATCTCCAGCTCAATATATCAAAGAACACACATATCCCTTCCATGCTAACATATCCACAAACAACCACTTCACATATGGAGCAATAACAAGCAAGATGGTGACTTAATCAACAGATATGGCAAAAAAAATACCGAATCAAGAAAGGACACCAAGATTTACGTGGAAACCCCTTGTGGGGAAAAACCACGGGCGACGGTGAGGCGAATCAGGGAGGCAGCGGCCGTGTGCCGGCGTAGGAAGGCGGCAGCCTCGCACTGCGCCTGATAGGGCCGGTAGGCGAGCCGCAGTCAAACTAATAGGCTGTTGGACTGTTATATTAAAAAATAATGATTCCATGCTTGAAGAAAATATTGTACTTTATTTTGGGAAGTTATTGATAGTAGCAAGTCTGAAAGGCTGGTATGTCTCTATTGTATGCTGTTGGATTGTTGCCTTCGGTGTCAAGGGTAAAAGAGTCATTTCGTGTATAAGTTAACACCGTTCCACCGTCAAATTGACAGAAGAGCCAAGAAACTAAACGAAATTTGTTTTAGGACCAAATAGGCAAGTTTAAAAGAAAAGGACCAAGAAACTAAGCACAAATTTTCTCAACAAATAAATGGCTGATCGTAGCACAACACAAAAACAGCACCACGAGGCACAGGCTCGCCGAGACGTATATATATTTTAAATAAAAATTCATAGCTTTAGAGAGAAGAAATAAAAATACATGGTTAATACCTAGAAATTGCAATTATCGATGATATTCATTTCAACGTTTTTAGGGCTGATACTCCTTCAATTATTATTGGAATTTTTCGTTGTTTGGATACCCCTCCTAAACTTTAGTCCTTGTCATATCGAATGTTTAGACATTAATTTAGAGTATTAAACATAGACTAATTATAAAATTAATTACACAGATGGAGACTAATTTATGAGATGAATCTATTAAGTCTAATTAGTCTATTTGACAATGTGGTGCTACAGTAAACATGTGTTAATGATGGATTAATTAGGCTTAATAAATTCTTCTCGCAAATTTATCTCCATCTGTGCAATTAATTTTATAATTTTTTTGAGGGGAAATTAGTTTTATATTTTTTTAGCAAAAATTAGTTTTATAATTAACTTATGTTTAGTCCTTCTAGTTAGCATCCGAATGTCTGATACTTTAGTCTAGATCAAACCCCTTTAGAAAGGCCGAAAGGCCATAGGATGGGCTATACATGTCCATATGGTTATCGGGGGCACGACACGGCCCGGAGAACTTCGTGCCCGTGCCGTCCTGGCCCACATAGGCGTACCATGCTTGGGCCGCACCCCTGGCACGAGCACAGCCTGATAAAAGCGTTGGCGCACTAAGGCCCGACATCACACATCACCTACACCACATATTACTTGGCTGCCTCTCTCTTCCCATTCTGCCGTTAGTAGTCACGACTCCCCCCTCTCCCCATCCCCGTCTCCGTCTCCGTCTCCTGTCCTCTCCCTAGTTCTCGTCCACTGGCCTCCACCCTCTGATCTGCGCGCAGGGGCACAGCGGCCCCCTCCCATCGGAACCGCACGCACGACGTCATGGCGCGGCAGCCTCCTCACCCTCGGATCTGCGCGCAGAGGGCGGTGCAGCGGCCTCCTCCCCTCAGATCCGCGTGCAGGAGCGGCGCCGCCTCCACCCTTCGGAGTTCCTTGACGCGGCAACGAGCCTCATCTCCGAGCTCCCTCTCCCTCTTCTTCGATTTGTGTGAATGCATATTCTTCTCTGGAGCGCTGTGATTTTTGTTGATTTTTTCAATTTTTCTTACTGGAAAGCTTGAGCTTGCCATGGACATCTTGCTCATCATGCCAGCACGGGCACGTCGCGCCGGCACAGCACGTCTAAAGGGGCTAAAGACCGTGCTTGGGCTTGAGGCTTGGCACAGCATGACTACTTACTCGTGCCAATCGTGCCCGTGCCTTAGCGTGACGTGACGTGCCGTGTCGTGCCGGGCGGTCCGAATGGCCATGTATAGGATAGGTCTAAGCCCAGAACAAAAATAACTTATTTTGTTTCCTAGTAGGCCCAAGCCCAGTACAAAATAACTTATTTATTTATTTATTTATTTTTATATAAGAAAACGCTTATAATTAGAATATTTGTGACTCGTGAGCTTACGGATAAACCACGTGCACAGGTAAAGCCTCGAAGATGACAAGATATGTGAAGCACTGTTCATTTGAGTAGGCGAATGGCGGCGTTCCCGGCATTGAACCAATAATCAGGACCAAAATCCAAGATATTTTCAGAAATAGTGGTGTATGTAGACCCAAAAATCCATTTGTATAATTAGCTAATTGCTAGACCAATTCATCAGTACGACTAATCTTGGCAGAGGCCTTTCTGTCGCTGGCGATGGCGGCATCGTCGTCGGGGAGTGCCTGATACTGTTGGTCTCTGCAGAGCACAAGCAGATACAAACCGACGAGGCCGACGAACGCGGTCATGCACCAGACGAGGACAGCCAGCGGCGGCGGCATGACCGCGGCCACGCGGTACGCGAACGCGCAGCTGAGCGCGGTGGACAGCGCCCACACGGCGGCCTGCACGCGGCGCCTCTCCGCCGCGGGCGAGTCCGGCGCGAGCCGCTCGGCGCGCCGGAGGCACGCGAGGAGCGCGGCGAGGAGGGAGGCCGCGGCGGCGACGAAGGCCAGGTCCTGCGGGTCGTGACGCACGCGCCACGCCGTGGCCGCGAAGCTGTAGCACACGACGGCCGCCGCGGCGAAGCGGAGGCAGTGGCCGCACGCGCACCTGAGCTGCGCGGAGAAGGGGGACACTGGGTCGTCGTCGGCTGCTTTTGGCCCTGAACACTTGGCGTGGACGGTGGGGGTGGCGGCGGCTGCATTGCCAGTGACGATGATGCTCTTGGTTGCCATTGCCTTGGACGGATGGAACGAAGAAGGGAGAGGCCTCGATCAGTTGAGCTCACTCTCACTGGCTTGTTTGTGTCTGAGTGTCTCTGGCCAGGTGCAGTGCGAATTGGCGATAAATCTTACAGTGCATATATAAGGTATATCGTCCTCCGCGTTGTGAACGTGAAGACGCGGCGCTGGACGACTAATCTATTGACGGATAAAGGGACAAGCTACGGGTCGGTCAACCTCTTGTGGAGTGGGACACAGAGAAATTTCTCCAAACCTTCCTCCACGCGTTACTCCTATGACTGAACAACGCGCTCCTCCGCAGAAGAAGCTGAGGGATCCAAGGCAAACAGTTTTGTGCCGAAGCTAGCTTTGATTCTTCATTATATATATCTCTTCAATCTTTAGTTCCAAAGAAAAGAAGGAACTGGCAAGTTGACTTGACACCGGCTCTGGACATCAGGTAACCTTGTTGGTCGGGTAATGGAGCCTTTTTCTTTTCTTCGTTCATTTATCTCGAAGCATAATTTCTTGGGCAGTTCGGTCTCACGGTTTACTACAGCGTTGTCGTACTCAAGCGCGTGTGGAACGACGGCCACCGTTGTCTTGGTCTCGTTTGATGATGTCGCTGGTCTGCCTGACATTGTACCTCTCCAGGCTTCACAATCAGATTCAGCACAAGTCTACCAAACGTCCCCCAGAAAAAAAAAGGGAAAACGATACCGCGCGAGAAGCCCCTATAGAGTTGGAGGGAATTAAGGGGAATTTGATCCCTTACAAATCAAATTCCCCTCAATTCCCTTTGTTCCCCTCAATTCCCTCCATTCCCCTTGTATCAGGAATAACGAAACAAAGCCTTACAAGAAACTAACTCATGTTGCCCACAATTTATACATGCTAATGTTCTTTTCAGCGATCTATTTACATGTGTGTGACTTATATATATGAGCATTTGGAGCCTGAGCCTAGGCTAACCGAAGTTGTACCTATCCGACCAAGGGTCAGTTTGGTAGGGCTCTCAACTCACTCCCTTTAGCTCTCTATTGCTCCCATGATAGCTCCCACCCTCAACCCTAGAGCCGACCAAGGGTCAGTTTGGTAGGGCAAGTTGTGGAGGCATGTGCTCGGCCTCAGCAAGCTCGGCGGCCTCGATCTCGGTGAAAGCAAGATGGATCTCAACGAGCTCGGGTACAGTGTCCTCGTTCTCGACAACGGTGGGCTGGATCTCAACGACCTTGATGACTGCGGCCTTGGTCTTGGCGAGGACAGGGAAGTGACAGCAACGGGCGTAGCAGAGTAGGATGATGTCGGACAAGGCAATGGGCGTAGTAAAGTAGGATGCCGGCGAAGGTGGAGAGGTGTTGCGCAATTCTCCCGGGGAGCCATGCGGAGCGGCGCTATTTGGTAACGCTCCGTGACTCCTCGCTAGGATCGCTGCGAAACAAGGATGGACATGTATTCACCTCAATCCACATGAGTTGAAGTAAGATTGGAGCGTAAATTAAATTTAAATTTCAACCCAATCCATTTTAATACACATGGGCTAAGGTGAATACATTTGTATCTAAACAAGACCCTAAGGTTGGTCTAAAAGGCCCAAGCATTTCATTTTGACATGTTAAAATAATAGTTTTATTAGCTTTGGGCCAGGCCTAATTTGCTCCAGGTAGCAAAACGAGTCCAATAAATCCACAGCCTCTGAATTTCCAATACTAACCTTACGCTCAAAACATACTGTATTTTTCTAGTTTCCAAAGTTGAGATTGTGCGTCCCGTGCTGTTTTAATTTTATGCTAGGTTAACCTTTAAATTTTAGTTAACTTACAGAAATAAACCACCATATTAATATCAAATTTGTTTTATTAAATTCACAATATAATATATGTTAATAGTGTATTTATGTGATATTATTAATTAATATTAACATATTTTTCTATAAACTCGGATCAAAGTTAGATAATTTAACTTATAGTAATAGCTATAGCTAAAACGGTCTACGACGACTCTATGTTTATATAAAATAAAGAGGTGCAAGTTATAGCTGACAAAATTGATGTCACCTCACCGTGTTTAGCTATGCTGTACTTTTAGTCAAAATATGCTTATTTGTTTCTCTCTAGGTTAGCTTATTGGTTAATATAGCTACCGGACCAGCATAAATAAGCTGTGCTAACCGCGTTGTTGGCCAACACAAAGACAGATGAGCTAAACTACCTGATCGCTTTTATCATTGACTAAAGATAGTCCAAACCTAGCATTCATAATTAATGGCTAAAACTATGGCCCCGTTCGCTGGTCTGAAACTGGCTGAAAAACACTGTTCCGGCTGAATTATTGTGAGAGAAAAACACTGTTTCGACTTAAAAAAGAAGCCGAACAAGCCGAATATATGTTTCGCTTTCCTTCAAGCAAAGCGTACTTTATAATTTTAAAGACTCTTCAAGTTATATTTAGAACATTAGTTTGTCCAGCATGTATCATCAATTACAAATCAATACCATATCAAATTATATTTTAAAATGCAGATTTATCGGTCCATGTTGACACTCAAAATGTCTAACACTACTACAGAAAGTCTATTCACCGCCGGGACCTTCACCAACGGTTTTGAGATAACCGGCAGTGATAAGTATCACCGTCGGCTCGTACCTGCGGGACCCCTCCTGGCTAAATAACCGGCGTTGATTACCAGTTTCATCGCCGGTCCGGCGTATGATCCGGTGGTGAACGCAATTTCGACCTTCGCCGCCGTGTTGTCCGTTGAGCCGACAGTAAAAGGGTTTTCACCGCCAGCTGCTCATTCTATGTCCGACGCCTGGGAAACCGGCAAAGATGATAGTTTTTTTACTACCGGTGCCAAGGTAGACGCGTGCGCTATAGTAAGATCCGACAGTGAAGCAAGTTACCACCATTGGATTACCGTATGAACCGACGGTGAAGCAACTGCGTTGGTGATCCGAAGTCAATGTCAGTGCGTTACGATGGTGTTACAGCTGCCGGGATGTTCATATGGTGATGGTTGATGGTTGATGCTCGAAATCTGTGCCATCCATTAGTGCGTATTGAATACGGACCCTTCGTCTAGATTGAAGCCCTAATAAGGTCGGCCTACCGCCGCAACCTCCCGCATGGTCGGCCCATTGTTCCTCTGTCGCTATTTGTGTGCACGCCATGCGTCGTGCCGCCACCAGATCCAAAGGCAAGGTATGCTTTCACACTTGAATGATGGATCTTTGTCAGATTATTTTCCTCTTTAAGCCTTGTTTGGATGTTGTCAGATTCATCTCAATCCACATGTGTTGAGGTGAATTACTGTAAAATTTTGTTCAAGATCCACTTCAATCCACCCAACACATGTGGATTGATCAAAACAAGATCTTAGTGATCTCATTAGTAAGGAGGCCCCTAGCAAGAGGAACGCACTGGCCAGCCTCACAGAGGATGTCGCTCTCGAGATCCTTCGTCGCCTCCTCGCCCGCTCCTTGTTCTGCTGCAAATGTGTCTGTCGCTTCTAGAACCGCCTCATCTCTAACAACCGTAAGGTGCTGCCCCAGACTGTGGCCGGCTTCTTCTACGACGAAGAGAACGGCATGTGAAACTTCACCAGCATGAACGCTCCGACTTGTCCTTCTTTCCCTTCCCCAGGGACAATGTAGCTGTCTTAAATTGCTGCAATGGCCTCGTCCTATGCTTGTGCGTTGAGGCTACTGGTGCTGGATCCCGCTATGTCATCTACAATCCAGCAACCAAGAATTTGCGGGTACTGCCGCCTAGCATCCATGCTGTTGGTCAAGCTTGATTGGGGTTCGATCCGACAACCTCCTCGTACTTCCATGTGATTGAATTTGTGGAGCATGAGGACGTTGAGTGCCTAGGTGTGGAGATCTAATCATCTGAAATTGTAGAATGGATCTATAAGGAATCTGAATGAGGCTAGAACATTGATGACAATGTGATACGTTCAAGATCAGCAAGTGTGTTTCTTAATGGTTTTCTGCACATTATGGGGTACTCTGTTATACTTGCAATGGATATGGAGGGAAAGATATGGAGAAAAAATTCCTAGGCCTCGTGTTACTCTACCCTCCATCCATCAAACTCAGGGTCACTTGTGTGTATGTACTGTTGGTGGTGTTGGTGGTCACAATATGTCCTAGCTTTCAATCTGGATCCTTGAAGACTATGTTACTAATAAATGGACATTGAACCATACTATCAGCACACTGAAGGTGTTTGGAAAGACTAATATTCAATTTGGTTACGTGGATTATGAGTCAGACTACACAGCAATTACAGTTCACCCAGAATGGAATTTGATTTTCTTTGTTGGGGAGGAAAGAAGATTCATCACGTATGAGATGGACCGCAAAAAAGTTCATGCTGTCCCTGCTCGTGTCTTTCAGTTTGGTAGACATAGCGTCCTATCAGGGTTCATGAGCAGACCTTACTTTCTTCCTTATGTTCCCTTGTTCTTGTTGGAGTCATTAGTAGAGTAATGAATAAAGCTGCATTTGATGTATCTCTCCGTCACGACATGTTCAAATGGACCAATGTTATTTGATTGTCTATGGACCTGTTAATTTCATCTAGGATGGATGTTGTCATTATTGCAGCTAAACTAGTATGCCATCTTTATTGTGTTTGCAAATTGGTTTATTTCTCTAACGCGAACAGTACGATATGGTGGTGTTACAGCTCCCGTCGTTTCATACGGTGAGTCAGGATCAGTGTTAGATCACCTAGAGGACCGTGCCCTCCTCTGAGAGGAGGAAAAAGAAGGACCGTGAGACAATGAAGAACAAAGCGATGTAATAGTAGTAGAATACTTAGATTCATTTCTAATGTTATATGGGTACATAGGGAATGCTGATGAGGGCACTCCAAAATATACAAAAATGACACCTTAAAAGTACTATAATGTACCCGCCATTGTACTACTGGGCTAGGCTACTAGTACTAACTACACCTAAAATCGACTTGGTCTTGATCGATGCCACTGCCCCCGCCATTGCCAG